ATACTAGAAAAGTCATCTGAGACCCCCGCATCAATGCACACGGTAAGATCATCAACTGTTTGTCTGGTGTGTTTGAGTTTTGCTAATCAGTTCATAAGACAATGAAAACCAGCAGTCAGTAGCTTTACGTAAGATTTCCGAGCTGTGTATTTATCCACCGTTTAGCCTGTTTTAGTCTTGACTGTTTCCGTGCTCCGTTTCTTGTTGATCACAATATTTGCACTCAATGTGCTGACGTTATTGGGTTGTTTCTACTGCAAAAACTAAGGTGCTAAAAATAGATTCAAGTTTTAGTCAAGAATTCGTGATAATTTTCTATTGCTTAGTTGATCTTTTTATCGTGTATCTAAACTTTGTAATCTCGATCAATTTCAGTCTTTTAGTCGTCAGTTCAGTATAATGTGTGATCGTGAAAGCAAATTAAAAGCTATTGAGTCAGCTATTGGTTCTGTACCAGATTTCCCCATCAAAGGAATTGTATTCCGGTAATTACCTCCTCAGTAATTTTTGGTTTTGATTCTAAAGAGATTTTTTTTGGTGTTTTTTCGGGACCATGTTTTAACACAGTATCTTCTAGATGAGTTATATTATATAGCTACATCTAGGTGGAAAGTAAAACTAAGGTATGTCGTGCTTCATGTAGTTTTTAATGTCATTAGATAAATGTTGTTATAGGTCTTGAGTCACGTGGATTTCTTCTCGGTCCGGCTTTAGCTCTTCGCTTAAACTGTGCTTTTGTTCCTGCTCGGAAGAAGGGGAAACTTCCAGGCCCCTGTTACTCTCACAGTTATGAACTGGAATATGGAACTGTAAGTTGACTATAAATTCTCAGTACTCATTAATTTAACGAAGTTCTGGTTATTTTTACTGCCGTAAGCTTACTGATTGATACTCATCGATTACTTACCTGCTTCATTGTTGGTCTCTAGCTATGCCTTGTGTCCTAATCATCTACTGATGGTGTGGACACGTGAGACGTGTCGATATTGCCGGACTTGAAATCAAGTTAAAGTTACTGAGTGGTATCCTTAAGTCTCATGTTAACACCTCAAAGCCACTCCCTTTGATTCTATCATGCCATAAAATTTGGAAGTAAGGTAATTCAAATTCTCGAAGGCAGTTTAAAACCCCCTTCCATCAACCAGCCTTTCGATAATCAGTGGCTGTTAATATCCCTGACACAAGATGCGAACCACAACTTGTACACAAACCTGCATGGCTGACGCCTGTTTTGAGGTGCATGGCGTTTCTACTGTTCAATGCGAAATGAATCTTGAATATCTTACAGGGATATGCATCCTCCGTCGTACTGAATCGAAATCTACTCGGCAACCACATGCATGCTCTCCGTAGGCAATGAGCTACATCTGTTGTCAGGGATAGGGATACTACCTAGCTGCTCATACCTTAGTAAGTGGAGGGTGTTCAAACCTGTGATCCATCGGTTGAAAGTCAAGCAACTAAGCCAATGAGCCACAACTCCATCATACTGCAACAGACAGTATCGTGACTTACATTTAACTTGGCTACAGTTTCACTTATGCGCTATTGTCGCATAAGTGTAAACTTAACTTATCTAACGCAGCTTTGAAGCACATATCTCTATCTCTTCAAATTCATCTGGATTTATAGGATACCATAGAAATCCAGAGGGATGCTATCAAACCTGAGGATAATATACTTTTGTTCGATGGCGTCCTAGCAACTGAAGGAAACCTGTGTCAAATTAGTGGAAAAGTCTGGAGCAACGATCTTAGCCAGTTTGGTGTTGATGGAAGCTAAGTGTCTACCCGGACGTGAAAGGCTGCAGAAACTTGAAGTTTCTGTTCTTCAATTTTCCAAGCTTAAGAGGAATATATTTTCTAAATTAGATAGAAAGAGGACTTCTTTCATGACCGGTTTAATTTTGTTTTATTTCCTCTCTTGATGATCCTGGAACGTAGGAGTGTGTTTTGTTGAATAACAGCACATTGCTCGAAAACCGAACTGCACTCAGAGGCCTTGTGCACATTCGTGCAGTGAACAATGAGCCACGTCTATTGTATAGGACCTAATGATACTACCTGACTACCCAAGCTTCGGTAGGTGGAAAGGATCACATTACTAAAACTGCGCCTGGAAATACTTTAATCTATTTCAAGCTGTATCACCAATGTTTCCTATTATTTCCAGTACCTCAGCCACGTAGCTTCAAGCAACTGACGTGGCTGAAACCCGCAGTCAGAGACAGGTTACTACAATTTGACCTGCCCATTCATAACTACTGCCCAACGCAATCCTACTTTGGCTAAGATGATGGGTCACGTCAAGTAGTACCTCCTAACACCCACTCTCTGGGAGTTCGCTACGTCCTTCGTCGCCGTATCTACACCAGATTGGAGGTGGCCTCAGGCTTCTGCTGAACCCTTAGTGTTATTCTGCTCCGGTAATTCTCTAACCAGTTCCTCGCTAAAAGCATCCTTATGATTCTCATCGTCGAGCTGCGCTAGTGATGGTCTTGCTATTATGATTTCTTTTCGTCCACGCGCGAACACATGTGCTCGAATCAACGTGTAGTCGCTGTCCAAACACCGTTCACTGCGAAATGAATTTTGAATATCTTACTGGCATAAGCTTCCTCCATCGTACCAATTTACTGCAACGGAGCGATATTTGTTGTCTGTATTGGACCTGACAAGAGGTTTGAACAATAGTTTTTGTGGTGGTTTGCAATCACAGTCTAATTCAGCTTTATAGTTAACCTCTTCATGTGTTTTATTGTTTATCTGGATTGATAGGATACCATAGAAATTCAGAAGGATGCTGTCAAACCTGGGGATAATGTACTTCTGTTCGATGACGTCCTAGCAACTGGAGGAAGCCTAGAAGCTTGTGTCAAATTAGTGGAAAAGTCTGGAGCAACGATCTTAGCCAGTTTGTTGTTTATGGAACTAAAGGATTTGAATGGACGTGAAAGGTTGGAGAAGCTTGGAATACTGGTTCACTCAATTTTCCAAGCCTAATCAGTTGAGAAGACTTCTTTTTTGACCAGTGTTATTTTGCTTCGTTTTCTATCCCTTGATCGACCTAAAAGCTAACGATACTTTGTATTCTATTGAGTCTGAAGACTTTTTTACTACTCACTATTTTGATACATGTTTTTCCCAATGAATGTGAGATAAGGCAATCTTACTTCGTTTTCCACCCCGTGGAAAATATGAGTACTAAATTCGTAAATATCATTCTCCCAATGTTTGCATCTTTTCAAAACACTAAGCCTCAAAGTCGTTTGGACATTTATACATTACACTAGTATTCGAAATTATGTACCGTTGTATAATTAGTTAGCCAATTCTGAAATTATTTTTCACATGAGTTCGTCTTTTCTGAGCTTCTATTTACTCGCATCTAAATATTGGTGACAATTGACTGGTTTAATCCTCCCTCTTGAAGATCCCGTGTTTACGTACCGCTACTTAACAGTGCTTTCATAGACATTTTCTGTTAAAGTGCTTGGTCTTTTCGTGTGTGTATTTTTTAGTTGTGGTTCGCTGTCGACTGTGCGTGACTGTCATCCAGTATTGTAGGCTTTAATTCAATAAATTAGTTCTATTGTTGGTTAAGAACAAAGCATAATTGCAAGTGCATTCCACAGTGTAGGCTGTGTTTGTCAGAAGCATACTAATAATGATCTTTCAGAGATACAAAAAAATACTTTTCATTTTATTATCAGATATAGACAAGTATCACGACATTTTGCTATCTCGTTATGAAATAGGCCCAATATCAAAGTGAAATAGAACCCATTGAATCTCTACTGTGCTCACGAATTTCATATAATTTTTGAGAATGAATAAATCAGGTCATTAGAAGACTGTAGTCACATCTTACAACCATACGTTGCTTGGTAGCATGATTTCAGTCGATTGAAGCGTTTTGTTGAGTCTGTTGAAGTGGATTATAGTCTCACTTTCATTTCCAGGTATAACTAAAAGACACTGGGTTGAAAATTCACACCTCGGTTGAAGTGCGTGAACTCAAAACAGATGACATCTCGGCACTCGGAACCAGAACCTAGGACAGACTGCGTTCATTGTGAGACGACTGGAGAGATGAAATATGTACAGTAGGATATGTTGTGAATGAATGTTGAGAGGAATACTCTCGTATTAGGTTTAGAGATATCTAGTTTCTTGTATCGTTTCGAAATGTTGAATGGTCTGTTTTCATTTTCGCCGATTCTGATGGAATTATTTTTGAGTGTCTGTGAATTTTGGGTGCTGCCACTCAGGTTTTCCGAGTGTTTTTTTCCACCTTGTCAGTTTGGTCCTAGTAATCATTTGGCCCGTGGTTTAAAGATGTTCGACAAATAGTGTATACTCTTCTCTGTGATATTCCGTTTCGACGTTGCACAAATCCCTGTGTTCTCTGTTTCTGAGAAAAGCACTGCTTGTGTTTTCTCAGTTCAGTGGTTAGGTGAGTGTTGAAGGGGAATTGTAAATGCTTTGGATATCATATATCGTTATTTCACGGCTCGTACTTATAGGCTGTTTTGTTATTGATATACAGTATTATATAGGGAAGGCACCAGTGTTCATAGTATACAGGTTTGTCGTTGAGAATAATATGTGGCAGCGATTTGTTCCACTACCGGATGATGTGTTGAATTAGATATTAAGGTTGATGAGTTGCGAAACAAAGGAATGAGAATACACTCATTAGCCTCCTAATTCGGATAATTCGACTATTCATCTTCTATACGTATTATCTGGAATACACTTGCTTGGTCTTTGATGAAACAGTGATAATCATCGGAAGTTCTCGTATCGCAACATATGCCAGTTAGTTGGTTGAAGTAGAGTTTCAGTTGGCTGATTCATAATGACCTAGTTAAATCTGGTTCCCATTATCATCTATCTAACTTTTATGAGGGTCGTGATTCTGATATGAAATGTAGGCTGTGTGGATAGAGTGAGTTATTTTAAATTACTCCTAGATGTGTAAATCAGACGGTGTGGGGTCCAGTCGACAAAAGTGACGTGTTGTGCTCTGCTTGACTGTTCGGATTGAGGACAAATCAGTTCGAGGCTTCTTAATTTACAGACTGGTGCCTGGGATTCGACCGACAGACAAGCCACCTTTTGGATACGAGTTCCATTTGACTACGATTACCAACCTTTTTTTGAAGTGGCAATATAATGGATTGCAAACGAGATTACTGATTTCGTGACAAATCCTCTATCAAGCAGCCAAGAATCGCACAACTTCACGACATTACTCACTGCGTAAATTTCCTTCCAGCTTAACATTAACTGTTCGGTTGAGCTGGTCTACCATTCGTCGTACCGAATTTCATCATTACGATGTCAACCATTGGAAATTGACACAGAAACGTCAGACTGTGCATTGGTTAGTAGTTCTATCTCCATTGCTTATAAGACTGGCGAGAAGTCATTAACATAGGACAACGCATTACTGGATAGCGATTTAATTTTCCACACGTCAAATCAGCACATCGTGAGAAAATACTAAAAGGAGATATGAAGAAGAATTGGTCAAGGACGGAGGAATGTAGTAAAAGACAGGAAGGAAGAATAAGAAAATACTGAATTCATTGTGACTATTAAGATGCGGCTAATGTGTGTATGTTTCTGCGCCTTGTCACCTACCTTTTACTACCACTGGTTTCTCTTGTCATGAGGACTCCAACCAGGAAGCCTACAAGGCCCAGATAAAAGTTCGTAGACTTCATACACTGGTGCCATGTCTTAGTCTGGCCATCTTGAGTCTTTTTCTAGCCCAAACCTCCTTCAGGTAACTTTGTGCAATGAGGTGAACGGTGACTGCGCATGTGTGACACGTATCTCAGCCACTTGAGTTGATGAAGGTTCACAACCTCATCGACTGACTTTCCGTAAAACTCTACGCCCGATTTCTACGTTACTGACGTGGCACCACCACAAAACATGGCCGAAACTGAGAAGACAACGGTGAACGAACACCAGAAGCTTTCTCTACCTTTAATACTCATGTTTCACAGCCACACAGTAGAACTGAGAGAACTGCAACACAGTGCACTCAACCCTCACCTTAATAAGTAGTCAGATATCTCGGCTGTACCATAGATGGTGTAAGTTGGCGAAGGTCAACCGAGTCCTTTGTATACGTGGAGAGATTTAGTCGACCGCCGGCCTACTAGGGATGATCCGACTTTTCAGGTAAGTGAAGTTGTCAACACGACCAGCCAGTTCACTCCCTATTGTCCAGAGCACGACTGAAGACCAGTCCTGGAGCAACAATTTCCATTTGGGTGATGAGAAACGCATCCCACACATTCTCCATAAGACTTCGTATCTTGTCAGCGTCTTCACCTAAAAGGACTATGCCATCTAAGTATTCTAAATCTACTACGGATTCCCCTGTGATAAAAACTAATCACTGTAACGTCAGACGACGACAGTGAGGCCTCCATAAGTACGTCTATGATAAAGTAGGATAGGAATGGAGAGAGAGGATATATTTGAAGGAGAACAACCGACGTACACAATCCAGGATAGGCCCTAACACGTCCAGGGGTTTCAAGTACAGAGCCTTCAACAGTGATGTAATCACTCGGCACTCCTTTAAGTGAGAGACAACGCCATACAACCTCTTGGTCGACGGAGTCGAATGCCGCCTTCAGGTAGAGTGATACAACCAGTGTCGGTGTGTCTTTTCTATAACCTGGTGGATTGTGAATACTTGGTCAATACACCCACGGTCAGATCTGAGGCCTGCTTGGCTTCCTCAGATTTGCTGTTCCTGAGTTCCACTCAGATGTATTATGATAATCGAACCTAGAATTCTAGACATTCTGTTCATCAGATTGACTCCCCTGTGGTTATCACAACAGGACATCTCTCGTTTCTCGCAGATTGAGACAAAATCAGAATAAAACCAGTAAGAGAATTTCATTACCTACTGCACTCAACTTGACCAATTATTCTCTACCAGCGTTCCTAAATACCTGGTAGTAGTCCGTTTGACTCTGCTGCTCTCCCTATTTTCAGGTTATCTACAGCCTTCTCGACTGCCAACCCCTGTAAGTGTCAAGGGTCCTACCTGGATGTTCTATTCATGATCGGACTGGATAATGAGCAACGGAATAGTAGCTGAAGGCCAGTAGAAGTGTTCCGCCCACCTCTCCAGTCGTTTCGCCGGCGAGTAGACCACAGACCCATCCTTCTCCGCTATACTTTCACTAACCACTGACTTTTTCACCCCAGCTTTCCCAATAAGTCTAGATAACTGTCTACTGTTACCTATCACCACTGCCTTTCCCATCCCTTCAGCCTCATCTGACCACCACTGTTCGCAGTCATTGTATAAACATTTGCCAGTCTGCACCTGAGATGCTTCCGATCCTCATTGTGCTGGAAGCAAGCAGGAATACGTTCGCGTACATCTGTTAATTCAGAAGAAGTTTCTGAGATCACCTGTCCTTTATTAACAGCTCTCTGAAAGTTGGCTACGGTCTTCATCGCTGTATTTACAGCAGATTGGTGAAAGCCCCAGGCTTCTGCTGGACGTGCAGTCTTGTTCTGCTCCAATAACACTCTAACCAGTTCCTCGCCGAAAGGATCCTAAGAATTCTCATTGTCGAGCTACGCTCGCAATGATCTTGCTGCTATGGTTGTTCTACGTCAACACAGAAGACTTTCAAATGTACATCTAAATTATAACCGAGAGAAAGCATTACACATCTACAAGGGTAATATAACAGTATTCCTATCCACATTCATTCACAACATATCCTACTGTACATATTTCATCTCTCCAGTCGTCTCACAATGAACGCAGTCTGTCCTAGGTTCTGGTTCCGAGTGCCGAGATGTCATCTGTTTTGAGTTCACGCACTTCAACCGAGGTGTGAATTTTCAACCCAGTGTCTTTTAGTTATACCTGGAAATGAAAGTGAGACTATAATCCACTTCAACAGACTCAACAAAACGCTTCAATCGACTGAAATCATGCTACCAAGCAA